ACCTCCACTGCCCTCCTGGCTCCTGTTTCAGAAAAACTAAATATATTTGACCCTGGGGATCGCTCTAACAACTGCAGTTTTCCATTCTCTCTAATATCCTCTGGCCATTACATCGTTGCATCTCTTCCTTACTTCATAGTTTCCTCATTCCACAAAACACACACATAGGCAGGCCCACACCCATCCTCAAAACTATAAAACTCTTCCTTTTCCAACAGCAAAGAAAGTTGAGGCCAGAACTGAGATGATTCAAACACAAGAACCTTGTTCAAATGTTAACTGCAGCCATAACTTTACCCAGAAGTAAATATGACAAAATAGAATACACTCTCACAGGGAAAAATTTGTGTCCCTCTGCCAGTCTATCATTTGTCAAGTAACTCTGTCATTTCTCCCACTGCTGCATAATCACGTAATGAAAGCCCCAGATGTCATTCACATACACAAGAGGGCAGACTTCGGGTTGATAAGGGACCCTTTCTTTATTTGCGTTGCTAATAGTTTTTTATAGAACAGGCAAAATGCTATATGTAGAAGGATAAAGGGCAAAAAAGAAAATGTCCTTTTCTGTTTGTAATAACAATGTGGGATAATCAACTGGTACTCTTGGACCTTATCCAGACACCGTTCTTGCCAGGGCTTGAATACACAGAGCATGAAACTAGGAATCCTATTAAATTATTTCCCTGCTAACACCAAGCTTTCCTCTTCCAGAACAGCCCCTCTTCCAGCCACACTACTGACTGTTCTCCATTCACACTACATATTTTAAGGTTCTTTCTGCATGGGATTCCCTCCTGTTCTACTATCCTGGCAAACTCAAGGTTTTACTTTGAACAAACCTGTACGTGAGAGTTCACAGCAATGGTTCAACATCTGCCTGCCCCCAAAAGACTATAAACTAATCGTGGACCCTCTGCAGCCTCTACACAGAGCATGGCATCTGTCACATAATAGACATTCAGCTGTTACTTGCTAAGTTAAAAGGAGAAAAGTCTCTCCAAATGTCAATGTGGTCCGGGAGGAACAGAGGACCTGAGTACCTCTCAATGTCAAATACTCTGGAGCAGAACCGCAAAGCCTCATCGACACTAGCAGATCCCGTGAGGTGGCTGTATCGCCAAGGGGTGTCAATGGCAGGGTGCCTGGAGTTCTCAGTCCCCTGGGTCTTACAGCCCTGGCCCTATGTGCTCCCCACTCTGAGAATCTCTGGCTGCAAAGACACCTTCACCTTATTCATGGACCCTAAGGAAGGCCAGGATCCTGCGTCACTTTCTTCCTCCACCTCTGCCATGTGGCTTCCTTGACATTCATAAGACTTCATTCATGCCTTAAGATCACAGTATATAAATTCCCCATGACCAGTTTTCACTAGCTGATGCTCAATGGAAAATTTAATAGTGTTCTCCTGTTCCAATCTCTAACCCCTTGGCTATACTGCACCTATGAGAATCAACCTACAAAGCCTTCGATAGCTGAAATAAAGCTTTATGCTGACCACTTCCCTATGCCACAGCAAAAGGTCTCCTCAAACTACCTAAATATGCACTGTACATATGAGTAAAGGATCCCAAATGCAGTCTACCAGACTCCAGAGTTCTAGGAAATGTAATAACTCATGCAGGTGCACAGATCCAAACGCTGAGTCTAACTCTATATGCTGCACTGGGTCTTTAAGAATGCAGGAAGTCTTGGGCTTCCCTGGTGGCACAGCGGTTGAGAGTCCGCCTGCCGATGCAGGGGGCACGGGTTCGTGCCCCGTTCCGGGAGGATCCCACATTACGGGAGGATCCCACGTGCCGCGGCGCGGCTGGGCCCCCATGAGCCATGGCCGCTGAGCCTGCGTGTCCGGAGCCTGTGCTCCGCAACGGGAGAGTCC